TGCACATATTGCATGTTCAAATATATGTGATGTTGATATTTTTGATGATAATAATAATAATTGTTGATCGTTATTAAATAAAAAATAAGCTAGTCTACAATCACAATGTATTCGATTATTTGATAAATTAATATAATAATGATTTTGTTCATGATAATAAGTCTTATTATTATTTAGTGTACATAACTGATTCGACGAAAAATCATAGTTAATATTGTTTAATAGTAAATTATTATCAAATGTTAGATATATAAAATGATTATGACTAAAATTAATATTTGAAACTTGTAATGATGGTTGAGAAAATTGATTAAATTTATTATATGATAAATCGAGTGTATCTAATTTTGGAAATTTAATTAAAATTGTTGATATTTCACTTGTATTTTTAAATAAATTATTAGTTAAATTTAATATTTTTACATTTGATAATTGTTGATTATTATTATCAATTTTCAAATATTCAAGTTGATTATCGGTTAATGTTAAATCATTTAATATTGGTAATGTATATAAATAGTGAGATAATTCAAATAGAATAGAATTTTTAATCACTAATTTTTCCATACGTTTTAAATTTTGAAAACATTGTAATGTTGATTGTATTAATGAAAAATTAAAACCAATTAATTCTAGATAACGTAATTTTTTCCATGTACCATAGCATAAAAAATTAAAATCTTGATAATTATTAACAACTTGTATAGTTAATTCTTCTAAATAATTTCCAATTGTTTCAAATGTATGACTATCAATTGTTTGAATTACATTATTTTCCAAATATATTTTTCGTACACGTAAATTAATAAAAGAATTATTAGTTATTGATTGAATATAATTTGATGATATATTTAATTTATCGTAAATATATGAACGAGAAAATTGAGGTATTTGAGAGATAGAATAAGGATGACAATGAATATAATTTGTACCATCAATTTCTATTCCACAATAACAACCTGTTTGAATATTTACTGTTTTTAATGGACATGTATTATACAATTGAAAATAATAAATAAATAATATGAGTATATTGTAGAAAATCATCTTTTGATCAATTTCTAAAATATACAAATAAATTTAAATATCATATCAAAATATTTTAAGAGACAATTGTTGACAAGTGAGATAGTCTTCATGCAAAGTGAATCATCAACGGTTGACTCCCTTCACTTCTACTCAGTAAAATGGTTCCTGATGAAAAAGATTATTTTATTTGTGAAAAAAAAAAAAATCATCTTCATCTCACTAGTCAAAGTGAACAAAATATTTTCTTTGTGAGACGACTTCTCGTCGTGATCAGCTAATTTTGGCTACTAGAATAAACGTTTTCTTTTTTTGTATTTTTTGTTTCTCTTATAGTTTTCGAACAACAAGAGATTCAGAGCTCTGGAACATCTTAAATTAAAGAGAAAAGTATACTGAAGATTTTGAGATTTTTATTTTTATTATATTAGGTTGAGGAAAAAGTTCGTGCGCCGTGTTAAAATAATGATTTTTTATATATTTTTTTTTTTGTGTTTTTGTTGGGGTTTTTTTGGTTTTTTTTTATTTTTTTTTTTTTTTT